GTGGTGAAACCATTAGATTCGGTAGGATCCAGCTCTTTTTTCAAGTTCGGAATGCCAGTAACAGGTCTGAATAATCAGCCGATTATCCAAACACCCCTAACCCAGAAATCTCAGCATGTCAATATACCAGCCATCCTCCAAAACCTTTCCAAATGCAGCAAAGAGCAACTGGCATCAATGACGGCGGTGCTTACCAACTTTGGCAAAGGGGCTGGCTCGACATCATTTGCTGCCACTTCAGAGCAGTGGTCAGGAAGCCCCCCTTACCAACTCTCACCCAGAGCAAAAAGAACTAATCCAGTTAAGGAAGAAGGTTCTAGAGTTGGAAGCTCGCAATCTGAACCAGGAGTGGGGAGAAGATGTAGCGGCTGAAAAATGGAGCCCGGAGGCACGAGTCACTCGCAGCAGATCCTTGATCTCTGAGCGAGGGCCAAGCCTGGATAGGAGGAAGCGTGTACGGCTTCAGGTAATTCTAGATGATTCCCCATTTTGTAGGGAGATTCTGGAAGAACCAATAGAGAAGATCAAGATGCCAAGCTGCAAATATAACAGCACCACAATACCTAAGAATCATGGTGTTGTATACCATGACCGACTCTGTCTAGTGTAAGGCGTTCCCCCCAACTCTAGAAGGGTTGGTTGCTAAATAGTGTGGAGCCATTCCAAAAGGATTTGTCTACTCCTATAACTAGCTGAAAAGAATGTTCATGAAACATTTCGTCACGTTGGTAGATCGTACCAAAATGACTACAGAGCTGATGTCATTAGTTCAGGGGAAGGAGGAGCCTCTACGGGATTTCATTACCCGATTCAATAAGGAGGCAACGACGATCCCAGACATGAGCCAGGAGGTAGCCTAACTGGCCATGCAGAGCTGACTCCTGCCTAGGTCGCCATTCAGAGCTTACATGGGGCGTAAAATTCTTAAAACACAGGTAGAAGCGCTAGGATAAGCTCACGAGTTCATAAAAGCGGACGAGACTGATAAGGCCATGCTGAGAAGAAGAGTAACGAACGACCCAGCTAAGCGGGCTGAGACCACCCGGGCTGAGCATCAAACCAGGGGGGATCAACCGAGCAAAGCTCAACAAGGTCAGAGAAACGCGGACATATAAATAGGAGTCAGGAGAGCTAACCGCCGAAAAGGAGCGCGGGCAGGGAAGTTTGAGCAATATACCCCACTTACTCACTCGAGGTCTCAAATCTTCAGTGTGAACAAATTGATGATAAATGGCAAAGGCCACCCAGAATGGTAAACAGGAACTGTGATCCTAGCAAGTGGTGTTATCAGAAAGGCATAGTCTACCCTCATGATGACCCCTTGGTAGTCACGGTGAGAATTGCAAAATGGGAAGTGGATAGAGTACTAATAGATGGCGGCAATTCAGCCAACATAATCTTCATCAATGCGTTTAAGAATCTACAGTTGGATAGAAAGGACCTAAAAAGGGTGAGCTATGAAGTCACCTAGTTCAATGGATTAGGTTCAATCCCAAAGGGCATAATGGAGCTGTCAGTCAGAGTAGGAGAAAGGTCCAGACGACGCGACGTTCAGGTTAGGTTCTTGGTGGTGGACTCACCCTCGCCCTACAATGTGATTATGGGAAGACCGCTCATCCACAAGATAGGAGGAGTGGTCTCCACCTATCACTTGGCCATGGCTTACACAACTAATGACGGAAGATTCGCCAAGCTAAGAGGAAGTCAGAAAACAGCATAGTAGTGCTACATTACAGCTCTTAAGCAACCGGCTAAGGCAAAATCCCAACTAGGCTCAGAGATGAAGCAAGAGGTTTGGGGTGAAAGGAAATCTCGGAAGAGAAAAGGAGAAGAATATTGCAGTGAAAAGGACTAACAAAAGCTGGCCATGGAGAACTTTGAGCCTACAAAAGAGGAAGTAGCCAAGTCATTACCCAGTGGTGAGCATGAGGAAATTGAGCTCACCGAGGAAGACAGCTCCAGGATGGTAAAAATTGAAAAAGGCATCGATCCTGGAGTGCGGGTAAACCTCATTGAGCTCCTAAGAAGGAACAAAAGCATCTTCGCATTCTCAGCGGACGAGATGCTTGGGATTGACCTAGAGGTCATGGTCCATGGGCTGAACGTGAAAGAAGAAGTCAGGTCGGTCATGCAGAAAAAGCGAAGCTTCTCTGATGAAAATAATCAAGCCATACAAGAGGAAGTAGACAAGCTACTGGAAGCTGAATTCATCGAACCATGTGATTACCATGAATGGCTAGCCAACATGGTCATGGTAAAGAAAGCAAATGGCCAGTGGAGGGTGTGCATTGATTTCACATATCTCAACAAAGCATGTCCAAAAGATTGCTACCCGCTGCCACGAATTGACCAATTAGTGGACGCTATAAGTAGACACGCATTACTAAGCTTCATGGATGCCTTCTCAAGGTACCATCAATGAAGGGGGGGTATACAATTACATTGCCATGCCCTTTGGGCTAAAGAATGCAGGGGCCACGTTTTAGAAGACAATGGATAGAGTGTTCATCCACTAGAAAGGGCGGAATGTAGAAGTGTATGTAGATGACTCGATCGTCAAAAGCATCACACAAGTAGGTCATATTTTGGATCTGGAAGAAACATTTGCCACACTGAATAAATATCACATCAAGCTAAATTTAAAGAAATGCGTTTTTGGGGTGAGTTTCGGAAAATTCCTCGGTTTCATGATGAGTGAAAGAGGAATCGGTGCTAACCCCGAAAAGTTTGAAGCAGTTCTTAGTCTCCCAGAACCAAAGTGCACCAAGGACATAATGCGCTTAACACGGAGGATGGCACCTCTGACCCGTTTCATCAATAAATCAGCGGACAAAGCCTTACCGTTTTATCAGCTATTGAAAGGAAATAGAGAATTCAAGTGGGGTGAAGAAGAAAAGAAAGCCTTCATAGGGATTAAGGAACATTTGACCAAACTCCCCACAATGATCAGCCCGGAGTAGGGTGAAAAGCTCCAACTGTATATTTCAACCTCGACACAAACAATAGGATCAGTCCTCTTGGTAGAGAGAAGCAAGCAACAGTGGCCAGTTTATTTTGTAAGCCACGTGCTGACTAAGGCTAAACAAAGATACACGCTGGTGGAGAAGTTAGCATTGGCAGTGGTGACAATAGCACGAAAGCTAAAGCCCTACTTTGATGCACATGTGATTCAGATTCTCACCAACCACTCGTTAGAAAAAGCTCTGCAGAAAATGGACGCTTCAGGACGATTGCTGAAATGGGCAATCGAGCTCTCTAAGTACGAGCTAGAAGTCAAACCAAGAGCAGCCATAAAGGCTCAAGCTCTGGCTGATTTCATAGTAGAAGCCTCGTACGAAGAAAAGGAAGACAAAATCGGAATTTGGAAAGTGGCGGTAGATGGATCGGCCGCCCAGACAGGTAGCGGTGCTGGAATAATTCTGACCTCGCCGGAAGGCAATGCATTTGAATATGCCATTAAGTTCAAGTTCAAAGCATCAAACAACGAGGCAGAATACAAAGCGACCCTAGCTGGATTGCGCATGAGCATAGCAGCCGGAGCCAAGAAGTACACTTACAGATTGAATCTCTGTTGGTGGCTAGTCAGCTAAAAGGAGAGTACGAAACCAGAGAGCCAGCAATGCAGAAGTATGCAACCAGGGTCATTACGCTTTTTTGTAAGAAACTAATAGGGAGTCGCCAATGAGTTTTAGAAAACTCATAAACCTCGTTCATGCCTTTCTCCCAAGTAGAGTTCAAGGGATATTTAGCACGTATCATAAGTTTACCCATGCCCAAATTGTTCTACTAGTACTAGAAATGAGTTCGGGAGCGAGGGTACTAAATAATGTTCCCTTTAGGGGGGAATTGCTATCCTAGCCCAAGTGCGGCCTCTACTAGCTCTTCCTTTTTCACTATTTCATTACCAAATAATATGTGCAATGCGAAACCTAAATACTCCCTCCGTCCCAAATTACTTGCAACGGTTTGACTTTTTGCACTATTCACACATCTCCCTTTGACCATCTTTTTTAACTATTATATGAAAGTCAATGTAATCATGTAAGATGTTGTTGGGTCTATTTTAATGTATAGTTTCTTAATATAAACTTTTTATAACTTATATAAATTTATAATAAAAGATATCAACGGTCAAACATGTGCATCGGCAAGCGTGTCCAGTCAAAATGTTGCAAGTAAACTGGGACGGAGGGAGTACTAAGTTAGTTGATTTGTTTACAAACATTAATCACAAAAAGTCTACATTGCAATGAATGTCGTTATCTTTTTTAATTCAAATTCGTAAAAAAAAAACAAAATAACCAATATTTGCCTTAACTTAGGTGATAAAACAACATTTAAATTATTCAATTTCTAGTCTTCAATTAACGAAAAATTACTATGTGAGTAAATTAATTAGATTTTATTTAAAGTGATCAAACAACACTAATTAATTGATTAAAGTTATTTAAAATAAGAAGAAAAAGAAAAAGTGATTTAACTAAGTGCTTAGGAAACTAACTATTCTCCTTTGTTTGCTAGATCATGGTTTTGGATGTTTATGGACCTTCTTCCTTCGTACCTCCAAGGTTTCAATGGAATAAATTAGGGTTGGAGAGTATTTGGGAATATAGGGGAAAAGTAATTTGATAGCAAGAGAGTACGAGAGATTAGGGATTTCAAAGTATAGGGTTTTTAATTCTGAATTTTCTGTTGTGATTAGGGCTAACGAAGACCCCTACACTAGTGGAAAAAGTGCTATCCGTAACGGGCAAAAACAGTTCATCCGTAATGGGCGACGAGCGTTACATTTGTGGCCGTTACGGATAACAAATGTTAAGTGCACGTTACAAATAAGTTTATTTGTAATGGGTAGTTACAAATAACTACTTATTTGTAATAGACACTTTTGGTGCCCGTTTCAAATAATGTATAAATAAGGCAAAATATTAGGGGTATTTGTAACTGACACATATATGCCAACTACAAATACCCCATTCTTTTTTCATTCACCAATCATATTATCAAATACAATTAACATTTACACCAAAAATGCTGGTTTTCATGCCACAAACATATTTTCAAACATAGCATATACACCAAATTCAATTTACATCTGAAAAACTGCTTATAAACCAACAATATTGTAAAGCTAAAAATGTTAAATTTTAGTAAATAATGAATCACAGCAGCATCCAAAAGCAACAGTATCAATAGCAACCAGAACAGCATTATTAGTAGCAGAACAGCAGCAACCAAAAGCTGGCAGCAGCAACCAAGCGCAGCAGCAAACATTGTAAAAGTTGAAGTACTTCTTTCATTGCCTGTACATTACATATTAGCAAGAAATGATGAAAATGGATCAGATACGATTACTGAATTTAGATCAAAATAAAAATGCGTATTTGTGTCCAACAAAAACACATACAATAACAATGGAATAAAAGATTCCCAACTATTACAAGAATCTTAGTAAAAAATTGTACCACAAAACGTAAAACTTAAAAGGATACAACACACGTATATCACAACATATAATTTTAATTGGTTTTTTGAATTAAAAATTGGGAATTTTTATGAGAGTTGGTGTTAATTTTGTTGTTGAGCATTGATTAATATATATAGTCAATACAGTGTGATCTATAGATTATGATCAAGCATTAAAACAGATTCTGATATTAATTTGTAAATTTGACAGCAAAGGACTATCATATTAGGCAAACCCAGATTCTTAGTTGTTGATTTTTTATATTTCTATGTCCCTATATAAGTTAACCAAAGTTAGAAAATTATACTATGTTCATTTCCTTACTAATTGTTGTTTAGTTCACTTTTAATGCATACTAAAATAATACATAACTATAAAAAGGTATTAATAAGTTTTATGAGAAACATCTATAGTTTAATTCACAAAATCAATCTTTTTAATCACACCCAAAGAAAGTGCTCAGCTCTAACCAAAAAAGAGAAAAAAAGAAAAAAGGAAAAAACAAAAAAAGTGGATTAATTTAGAAAATATGTATCGTTATCATTTTAATTCAAAATAAAAAGCCATTACTAGTTCATGTTTAAAATTTAACCAAACTTAACACTAGCTAGAAGACTAGTGTTAAGTTAACTAGACAAAAAACCAGTTGACAACCTAACATTTACAGATTTACTTGTTACCTTGTGGAATTCTATATGATGAGTATGATCGATCAACCAATTTTAAGATGAACAAGTTTCCTTTGTCTCCTCTAAATACCCTACACAGAAATGATAACACCCTTTAATCAAATGCAATTTAATTGATAAAATTAGAACACATAAATCTGAAGAAATCATGATGAAGGCGTTTCGTTTATATAACCTTGCTCAAATCATAGGTTACATAAGAGCTTTAGATTCATTGCAATGGGTGAACCAGAGTATGTATTACCCAATATACGAACCACTGGCATGATACCATATAATATCTCCCCGTATATTCTTCTTCTGATCTTCATCTTTTCCTGTCACCTCCTCTAACATAAACCACATGATGGCCTCCTCTCAACGATTCGGAAAGCACCACCACTCCAATCAAGGGGTAAATGCAATTGTCTATCTTCCTGCATGTTTGTTCAAGCCACAGATCTTAATATATATAATGTCATTACTAAAGAACTCATGAGACAGACACCTAAATAGCAATAAACACACGTATATAAATAAAGCAATAAACACAGCTAGAATCACTTCATAAGTCCAACAGAATTTACATGCACAAATTGAAATTTCAATCACTCTACTAAATTAGTGAGCTCCATTAATATGGCCGTCATTGTTTAGAGTAAAACTAATTGTACCAAATGAAATCAAATTATCTAATGATTCTGATTATATCACGCAACTTTTTACTTTATATACAAACATTCCTCATATCAACTAGGCAAATTCAGCCTCAACCAAATGAATGGATCAGGAATATATAATTTTACCAAAAGAATTCACAAATACATGTATTTATTTAGTAAATATGGTAATCAAACCCGGTAACCAAAAAAATTCAATACAATACTTCATATAGCAGTTTAAAGTCGATAAGATTCACAATAATCAAATTACATTTCATAAGCACATTTTGTAGAATCTCAAGTATAAATCAAGTTAAATATTTATTCAATTCATTTTGCAAATTAACAATCAAGTAATCAACTAATTACGAAAAAACACAACCTGAAATAAACAATATTCACATCAAAATCAGAAAAAACAAACCAAAATTTCATTCATCGCAACAATTAAACCTCAATTCACAACAAAAATAACCACCAAATTTAAACAATTCATCAGCCAAAACAGATAAAATCATCAACCGACAACTAATTCCATAAACAGAATACCATCGATATATTAATCTTCCAAAATGTGAAATTAAAAGACGAAATTCAAGATCTGTAACTAACTTAAACCCTAAATCATCAAACAAAAAAAAATATCAAAAAATCGACATAAATGCAAGAAAAAGAGAAGAGAGAAAGAGGCGAAACCCGAGGAAGAGTATCGCTGCTGCCGCTTTGCAGAGATCCAGCGGATCGCCGAACTTTCTTTCTATCGACGCTGGCTTTCTTCATATTGTCTCACAAATTAAACCTCTTCTGCACAATCGAGCTCAGATCCTTAATCCTTCTTCCCTTCTCACCTAATCAACCCCAAACAATAAAATATCAAAATCAAATCGCAAAAACACAAAAAAATAAAAAGGATTAAATCAAATAAAAAATCCAAAAAAGGGGGAAATTGAAGGGAGGTTCATCAATGGAGCGATCAGAGAGAAATGGAGGTAAGGAGGAGTGGAAGAGAGAGTGAAGTGAGAAAAATCACCATTGAAGGAAGCAGGATCCGAGGAGAGAGAAAGAGAGTAAGTAAGAGAGAGGAGAGACTGTGAGACAGCTGCTTGAAATGATGAAGTGAAAAAGCAGTTAGGCGCTTTTAGAGTTTTTTAACGTCTACGTATCTAATCTATTTGTATCAGGCAACTAGTGCACGTTACAAACACCGACTTATTTGTATCGGGCAATACGCTGCCCGTTACGAATAATTCGATTTTTGTAAGTGGCATTATTTTGCCCGTTACAAATACTCTTTTCCTTACCACTACGCTGCTTTAATGTAACGGATCGTTATTTTGCCCGTTACAAATAGGTTTATTGTAACTGGCAAATTACTGTCCGTTACAAATAGGTTGTTACAAATGGCATTTTTTCCACTATGCTATTCATAGGCGTAGGAATCTAGGTTTACGGTTTTAGAGCCGCGGTGTCAGGTGGCGCGCGCAACTCTTAGTGTCGCGCTAGAGTGCCGAGCGCAACTATAAGACTTGCGCGCGGCAAGTGCGCACAACTTTGAGAATTGCATGTAGTGCGGTTTGCCTTATACAAAAATGTATTTTTAAAACTTCCATAACTTTTGATTGCAAAGTCGGATTAAGCAAATAAGATATCATTGGAAAACTCTAAATGTCTACTTTTCAATTCCGTTAGAATTAGGTTAAAATATGTTATGGATCACAAGATATGGCTGTTTGAGTGCAAGGGTGTCGGTTTTAGGGCCCGGTTTAGTATTTTGATGATAACTTTTTCGTTTTAACTCGGAATTAAGCTTATAATATACCGTTGGAAAGATCTTTGAAAGGAATATCCAACTTTATATGCCTTGAACGGATATTAGATGGTTAAATTTTCTGGTTGGCTTGTTTTTTTAACAATGTAAGACCCATTTGATCTAATAATTGCATATGACGCATTTAGGTTCGTTAATAATCAATATTAAACATGTATGAGCATGTTTTAGGCCTAATTAGTAATCGGACTAAGCTATAAGATAATTTTCTCTCAAATACAGGTTCATAATGCATTTCAGAGTCCATAAACACTTCAACTTTGATCTAGCATGAATAACGAGTTTTTGTAACATCATCGCACTTCCCATCGGGACAGGGGGCCAAAAGTAGGTGTCTATAATTAGCCCCCACTTTGATTGAGTCTAGAATAGACGAAGATCAAAGTAGTCAAGAAAGTAAATCCGAGACTCATTCTGCGAAGTTCTTTAAAGATAAAGAATCTTTCACTACAAGGAAAAAGGGCTTAGGCAACTCCGAATCAGCAATAGTTTTCTAAGCGTTGCATAAAGGCATTTATGGCTGCACTTTTCCAACCTTTGTTTTAGCCCTTTAACAACCGCTGCTAAAGATTAAGTAAGGCAACAGTTTTATCACTACTTTTTTGTTAGAATATCAAACAACGGTTAAAAAAACTTAACCTAAAGCCTATTATATTTTGATTGCAAAGTCGGATTAAGGCAAATAAGATATCATTGGAAAACTCTAAATGTCTACTTTTCAATTCCGTTAGAATTAGGTTAAAATATGTTATGGATCACAAGATATGGCTGTTTGAGTGCAAGGGTGTCGGTTTTAGGGCCCGGTTTAGTATTTTGATGATAACTTTTTCGTTTTAACTCGGAATTAAGCTTATAATATACCGTTGGAAAGATCTTTGAAAGGAATATCCAACTTTATATGCCTTGAACGGATATTAGATGGTTAAATTTTCTGGTTGGCTTGTTTTTTTAACAATGTAAGACCCATTTGATCTAATAATTGCATATGACGCATTTAGGTTCGTTAATAATCAATATTAAACATGTATGAGCATGTTTTAGGCCTAATTAGTAATCGGACTAAGCTATAAGATAATTTTCTCTCAAATACAGGTTCATAATGCATTTCAGAGTCCATAAACACTTCAACTTTGATCTAGCATGAATAACGAGTTTTTGTAACATCATCGCACTTCCCATCGGGACAGGAGGCCAAAAGTAGGTGTCTATAATTAGCCCCCACTTTGATTGAGTCTAGAATAGACGAAGATCAAAGTAGTCAAGAAAGTAAATCCGAGACTCATTCTGCGAAGTTCTTTAAAGATAAAGAATCTTTCACTACAAGGAAAAAGGGCTTAGGCAACTCCGAATCAGCAATAGTTTTCTAAGCGTTGCATAAAGGCATTTATGGCTGCACTTTTCCAACCTTTGTTTTAGCCCTTTAACAACCGCTGCTAAAGATTAAGTAAGGCAACAGTTTTATCACTACTTTTTTGTTAGAATATCAAACAACGGTTAAAAAAACTTAACCTAAAGCCTATTATATTTTGATTGCAAAGTCGGATTAAGGCAAATAAGATATCATTGGAAAACTCTAAATGTCTACTTTTCAATTCCGTTAGAATTAGGTTAAAATATGTTATGGATCACAAGATATGGCTGTTTGAGTGCAAGGGTGTCGGTTTTAGGGCCCGGTTTAGTATTTTGATGATAACTTTTTCGTTTTAACTCGGAATTAAGCTTATAATATACCGTTGGAAAGATCTTTGAAAGGAATATCCAACTTTATATGCCTTGAACGGATATTAGATGGTTAAATTTTCTGGTTGGCTTGTTTTTTTAACAATGTAAGACCCATTTGATCTAATAATTGCATATGACGCATTTAGGTTCGTTAATAATCAATATTAAACATGTATGAGCATGTTTTAGGCCTAATTAGTAATCGGACTAAGCTATAAGATAATTTTCTCTCAAATACAGGTTCATAATGCATTTCAGAGTCCATAAACACTTCAACTTTGATCTAGCATGAATAACGAGTTTTTGTAACATCATCGCACTTCCCATCGGGACAGGAGGCCAAAAGTAGGTGTCTATAATTAGCCCCCACTTTGATTGAGTCTAGAATAGACGAAGATCAAAGTAGTCAAGAAAGTAAATCCGAGACTCATTCTGCGAAGTTCTTTAAAGATAAAGAATCTTTCACTACAAGGAAAAAGGGCTTAGGCAACTCCGAATCAGCAATAGTTTTCTAAGCGTTGCATAAAGGCATTTATGGCTGCACTTTTCCAACCTTTGTTTTAGCCCTTTAACAACCGCTGCTAAAGATTAAGTAAGGCAACAGTTTTATCACTACTTTTTTGTTAGAATATCAAACAACGGTTAAAAAAACTTAACCTAAAGCCTATTATATTTTGGTAAACGCGCCAAGGACCCAAATTTTTCCCTCCCATGAATTTTTTTCCCACAAACCAAATCCCACCAAAACCCCAAGCTGCCTGTTTTTTCTCTCTCTAACTCAATTTTTATCTCAACTCATTTTCTCTCTCTAACTCATGAACAAGATGCTAATCCTCTCATCAATCTCTCACCCTAATTTCGAATTTATCTGTTCTTTTCTCTCATAAATTTCATTCATCTTTAGATTTCCTAATTTTTCTCATAACCCCCTACCGTACCTAGCTTATATTTCATAATTAGGGTTACTAACATCTCATTCACGAGCGTCTAGGTAGTATCAACGAATTTCTTAATAAGAAGGTCTGATAGCAGCTAGCAAAATTGTGTGTAGAAACTGTACAATTATCGGGTCAGCAAGTTTCTCATCAAGTGCTAGTGGGTCTGCTAATTTGTTGTAAGTGTCCTTCTCCCAGCTGAATTTTGAGAATTAAATCTTGAAATTTGATTCTTAGCAAGTTTTGGGTAATTGAAACATATAATTTTTTTATTCTTACAAATTTAATATAGTAGGAAAAAATTCTGCCAATTCCAATTTTTATTTTTTTTTTATTTTTTATATTTTATATATATTTTTTTTTTTATAATAATTTGTTAAGAATGGGTTTGTGATTTTACGCTACTACCAAGTGAATTTTCTGTTTGAATGTATGATATATATGTAGAGTTTGGGTTTTAATTTGTTGTTGTGTAAATTTAAAAATGAAGTACAGTCCTCTAGTGGGGGTGAACCACTGGTCATCTAGAATGCTTTTAAATAAATTGGGTATTGTGAGTTTATTTGTAGCATTTTCCATCTAGTATGCTTTATAAACAAATTGAGAAATGTGTTGAGGTTACTAATATAATTTTTGCAATTTACTATCTAATTTTGCAATTTATACATTGGGGGTAAATTATACAGTTAAATTTCTAAATAAGCAACTAGTGTGTTATGGAACCTTGGCTTATTTCTATTAGCATAGTATAAGAGGCACATTTTAGTACTCTGATGTGTTGTTTGATTGTAATACTTGTTATTAGCTAGGTGAAATTGAATGTTCACCTGCATTGTTTGCTTGTGAAATTTATAGTGGAAAGTGAGTAATTACTTCTAGCCTTTATGTCGATTTGCTAATATTTGCTTTCATTATCAAATGGCAAATAAAAGCATTTGCATAAGACGATGGAGTTCAAGGTTGCATCACTAATTTTGATTCACTCCATATAAGATTGTACGGTGAAGTATGTCAACTTGTCTGTATAAATGACACTCTTATTCTGTATATATTTTGTGAGCTATTATTTGTTTTTATAATCTTTATTTTATGCCCTGCTTTGATATTTAATGTAGTATTAAGGATTGAACTTTGTCAAACCTTTTATTAGTATTAATGTGATTATGTGCACTAAAGGATAATGTCTACACATAATCTAGGAAATCTCACTAGTTATTGATTATGTGAACATGTGTTGTTGGAAATATGCTATTAGTCTTTAGCTTTAATTTATATACCTTAAAAGTGATACATTTGTTTGTTTTATAAATCATGTTACTATGTTTGTTATAATATCCTATTATTCACCTGTTTTTAAATTCAATTATAATGTATCTTTTTTGGGGGATTTAAATTAAAGTAAAACATGTACAATATCTTTGGAAAATAAGATGATATTGTTAGCGTCATATTGGAATGATAAATATAGTGTATGCTTACCCTTAAATGTCATAATTTTTTGTATAATTCTGTCTTCAATTTTTTTTTTTTTTTTGGTAGATATCTAGTTACCATTGATTTTAAACAAGAAAATTAATGATGGATCAAAATTGGATGAATTACCCCAGACAATCAGATGAGTATAAAAGAAGGTTGAATGCATTTCTTGATCATTCGTTTGCCTACAATGCCGTTGGGGAACAAATTTGTTGTCCTTGCAAAAACTGTAAGAGGGGATTATAGACATAATGTATATGATCATTTGGTAGTTGATGGGTTTGTGAAGGGATACAAGGAGTGGGTTCTTCAAAAAGAACAATCTTCATCAACTTGTAATGACCCAAAACCTGGTGGTCAGAACACTTGTGATGATATTCATAGTTTATTACATGATACTTTTAGAGATGTTGCTGAAGAATCAAATTCATGCCAAGGGATTGAAGATGAACAGAATGAGGAAGCTAAAAAGTTCTACAAGTTGGTTGAAGAAGGGAAACAAGAGTTATATTCCAGTTGTCTTTTTCTCATTCGTTTATACCTCTTCAATTGTCTTAATGGATTAAGTAATGTAGCAATTGGTGATCTCTTGGAGCTTTTGAAAGAAGCATTTCCCATGGCTAATCTTCCTAAATCCTCCTACGAATCCAAGGAAATTATTAAGGATTTAGGTCTTGATTATAAGAAGATACATGCTTGTCCTAATAACTGTATTCTCTACAGGAAGGAATACGAATCAGCTCAAGAGTGTCCTAAGTGTCATTTATCTAGGTGGAAATCTGATAAGGTTCCTGCGAAAGTGTTAAGGCATTTTCCTTTGAAGCCTAGACTTCAAAGATTATATATGTGCTAAAAAACAGCAGAATCAATGATTTGGCATTATAAAGAATGTCCGAATGATAATAAAATAAGGCATCCAGCAGATGGACAATCTTGGAAGCAATTTGATTCATTGTACCCCGATTTTAAAAAAGATCCACGTAACGTTCGATTAGCACTTGCCAGTGATGGGTTCAACCCTTTTCGAACGATGAGTGTTTCTCACAACACATGGCCAGTTGTATTGATCAACTATAATCTCCTTCCTTGGTTGTCAATGAAACCCAAATATTTTATGTTGTCTTTGTTGATTCCAAGCCCTAAGTCATCAGGAAATGACATAGACATCTATATGCAACCATTAATCAACGAATTGAAGGAATTGTGGGAAAGTGGAGTAGAGACATATGATGCATTTCATAAGCAAACATTAAGGATGCGTGCAACTTTAATGAGGACAAAAAATGATTTCCCACCCTATTCTATGTTGTCAGGATGGCGCACCAAAGGCCATTACGCATGTCCTTGTTTTAATCATGATGTGACACCTCAGTATTTAAAACATAGCAAAAAACAATTTGCTTCACGGACACTCGTAGGTTTCTAGATATAAATCATCCTTGGCGACAAGATGCAAAATCATTTGATGGTAAAGTAGAGGATAGATGTGCTCCTCAACCTTTGTCAGGTAAAGAGGTGTTACAAGAATTGGAACACTTTATAAATGATTTTGGGAAAACAAAGAAACCTGGAAGGGGTGATGGTCATTGGAAAAAGAAGTCTAAATTGTTCGAGTTGCCATATTGGGCAGACATTGCATGCCGTTATAATCTTGATGTCATGCATACTGAAAAGAATGTCTTTGATAATGTGATTGGTACATTGTTAGACATTCCAGGTAAAACAAAGGATCATCATAAGGCAAGACTAGATTTGATGGAATTGGAATTAAACCTTAACCCATATTTATCAGAAGATGGTCAACAGCTTTTGATACCTCTAGTATCTTTTACAATGGGAAATGCAGAAAAAGATCTTTTTCTCAAATTTATCAAAGAAGCTAAATTTCCTTATGGGTATGCATCAGATTTAGGAAGATCTGTTCAAGGTAGAGAAAGAAAACTTGTTGGCTACAAAAGTCATGATGCACATGTAATGTTACATCACTTGATTCCAGTTTGCGTTCGAAAAGCATTGCCGAAAAGTGTTGCATTACCCTTGATTAGATTGGGTAATATCTTTAGAAACATATGTAGTAAAGTTGTGAGTTTGGAGGAGCTAGAAACATTAGCAGCTGAAGTTGTAGAGATACTTTGTGAGTTTGAAATGTTATTACCTCCTGCTTCCTTTGATATTATGATGCACCTGCCAGTTCACTTAGTAGACGAACTAAAGTTTGGTGGACCAGTGTAATATCGCTGGATGTATTTTGTTGAGAGATACCTCTACAAGTTGAATGTTATGTACGTAATAGAAGTCGTCCAGAGGGTTGTATAGTAGAAGGTTATTGGATGGAGGAATATTTGACATTTTGTTCTAGATATTTGCATGACGGGGTCAAGACTAGGTTGGATAGAAGATGTGTTAGAAATCGTGAAAGTAATCCAAATGAGGATGAATATCCCTTTTTCCCAAAGGGAGGATATCCTATTGGACGTGGTAAGCGGAAAAGAAAAGGTAAGGGATTTTCATTAGACTTTCAAAGTTTAAAGCAAGCTCATAGATATTGCATCTTCAATTGCAATAGTGAAATAGTTGACAAATACATCTAGTAAGTAAGAAAATTTCAACTGTTGTCTACAATTTACTTTTTGGACTTGATTTACATTATATTTTATTTTATTTGTATTAATTAGTCTTTTTGAATTTAGGGAACACCAAAATTTGGTGAATAACCAAAGTCGAAAGTGTAGATGGGATAGAGCTCGAGCTCATAGTTTTGAGTTTATTGGTTGGTTCCAAGATAAGATACAAAGAGATAATGTTGAGGGCAATTTATTTTGGTTAGCTAAAGGTCCCAATCCTAAAGCAAGAAGGTATAGTGGATATTTCATGAATGGCTATAGGTTTCACACTTGGGATGGTGATTTAAGGTTAAGAGTCAAAATTATGGAGTCACTTTAACAGATTTAACTTCAAGTTTTGCTAGCTCAAGGGACCAAACTCTTATCAATGAAGATGTTACATACTATGGTATTATAAGAGATATTATTGAGTTGTGTTTTTTTTGTCTCAATTCAATGTTGTGCTATGTGACTGGTTTCTTGCTGGAATTGACGACCATCAGCTTACGTACGTGAATTTCATCAAGAAGACTTGTTATAAAGATGATCCATTTGTGTTAGCATCTCAAGTTCATCAAGTTTTTTTATATCCAAGACCTTGAAGAACATGATATTCACTATGTAATGAAACGAGTTCCAAGAGACTTCTTTGACTTTGAGGGAACATTAAACACTAAAACATATTGAGAAGAGTCGGTTGATTATGGTTTCAATTTCACCCCTTCTGATGACATGGATGCTAGTCAATTAGGATCAAGTTCTAATGTACGGTCAGTTGGTGTCACAAGTATCTTACATGAACCTGATAATGTTAGTGAATACATGAACATGAATCTGACTATGATGACACAGATTGGGACTGGATGCATGCCACTGATGATTCCCTAGTGCTTGGGTCTTAAGGATGATGGCTCTTGGATATTTGTTTGTTGTTCATTTCTAGTGTTTCACTAATGTTAGTTTTATGTATGTAGTCTAAAGTCGTAATCTGAAATGACATTTTCACGATTTGCTTTAAGAAAGTTGTGATGTTATATAAGTAGGAATGTTGTTTTCATTCCTTATCTTCCTTAAACTTGGTTGTTTTATGCGTCTTATAATTTGCAGGTAGTGACTTCAATATTTGGAGAATTAGTTTCATTTATAGATTTATTATATAAAATTGGTTCATTAAATTTTCTTAATGTTGTACAGGACCTTTTTACATCCTTTTGAAGTCGTCAATAAAGACTGATTAGGTATGTGGCCTTATACATTTTATAAGGTTGTTTTTTTCCTTATATTTTTGGTCCTGTAGTTATGTGTACTATGCTTGTTGTATGATTGTATTTCATTCTTATGTTATTAATCTTTTGATTTTAGAATGTGGCAAAGTAAGGAAAAAGTTTAGGTTCAAAGGTAGGCTTAAAAGTACCTGAACCAACGAAGTTGACCGAATATGAGAAACAAAGGAACCTGACTATCGAAAAAAATGCTCTCAAATTCAAAAAGCTTGGGATGGAAAAGTTGGCTAATGATTTATTAGCCAAAGTTAAGAGCTTGCAGCAAAAAGACAAAAAGAAACACCAGATCATAGAGTTGAAATATCAAGATTATGTGCCTGATGAAGATCAATTTGATGACGATGATGATTCTGAACAAGAATTTTTTGAAGTTCCAAGCAATGAGATAGAAGAAATTAATGAGTTAGTGGAAACACTAACAAAATCTATATCTAAGAAGGTACTTGCTAAATATTTTTCTTCTTTGATTTCTGAATTATAAATGAGTTTTATTTTATGTAATCTGATATTGGGTGCTTTTGTTCTGCAATCTAGGTAATGACCAAGGAACTTGCATCTGCTAAAAAAAAAAAAAAAAAAAAAAAAAAAAAAGAAGCCATTATGTCCTTCCATGGCGATGGATGATTTCATGAAGTTACAGCAACAAAAAGATCCAAGTGAAACTCAACAAGTGGATGTGGAGATACAAAATTTGGAAACACGTTTAAGATCCAAGCGAAAGCAAACTGCTATAATTCCATCTGAAAATCAAACTGATGTCAGCGTCATTGATAATCAAGTAGTTGTCCCTCCGGAAAAGCAAGGTAATGGTTCGAACAAATTATTGTTTTTACTTTCTATGTTAGTTTTTCAACATTGAAAATTTTCATTACTTGATCAGGCCCCAAGAAAAAAACTAGAGGGCTAACGAATATGTTTGAGGTTCATGCTCGAAAATGGGAAGACCGCGTGGCAATCTACTGCAATGATAAAGGACAACCTGTAGGCCCTTCTAAAGCTAAGGATGAACTTAGTCTATTTCTGGGAACCATTGCTCGTGATCATAATTGGGCACCCTTAAATTATACTGATTGGCACAAAGTACCTAACAAGGATAAGATTTGGGAATATGTTCAAGTAAGCTCTTTTTGCATAAATTTTACTTGTTAATTCTTGATCATAAAAAGATCCTTTATATTGCTATACTTCTTACTACTATGGTGATAACTTTTTTTAACTAGAGCAAGTACATCCTTCCAAATATTGCTAAAGATTGGGTTCTTACAACTGTTGATTGGTTTTGGAGAGGTTGGAAATGCCGACTTAAGAAATTACATTACTACTCATATTCCAACAACAGTGGTAGATGGACGTTTCGCCCATTGAATGTGCCTGAAGCACATTTCAAAACTCTTCTAGCTTACTAGAATACACAGGCAGCAAAGGTAAATAAAAAATATTACATTATGAATAATTATCCTACTATACATCATGCTTAACTTCTATTTTCTTTTATAAAACGGCAGTAGCAAGACAAATGCATACAACTGGTCCTGAGGGTTTTGCGGGGTATACATCAGGAAATGGTGAGAATTTTATGCCATACATAATTTCAATAATTAAAAGTTGAATTTATATATTAGTATAGTAATGTTTAATTTTGTATGAAACGCAGTTAGAAATGGATGGTGAAGCACCATCAAAATTAAAGATGTTCGAACGTACGCGACGTCGTAAAGAAGGAAGGACCTATAAGACATCAGCTGACGATACACAAAAGAAAATTGTGGGTACTTTTGTTATAAATGTATGGGTTATAATTTTATTCATCAATTAAACCTTAAATGAATATTTTTCTACTGGTTTTTAAAATGATACAGGAAGCAATGAGGCGTTTGGAAGCATCCCAAGTAGATGTAAGTGATGATTCTAAAAAGGATCCATTTGATGAAGTAATGAAAGAAGACTATAATGGATATGTTCGTCTAATTGGGAAAGGAGTTTCTCGTAAAAAGTTGAAGGCAAGTGGAGCTAGTAATAAACTAGTTTTTCCAACTAAGGTTATGGAGACCATTAATGTCGATGTGCAAAAGGATATGCTTGTTGAAAAAGAAGAATTAGATAAGGAAAAGGAAGCACATGCTGCCAAAGTAGCTGAATTTACTGAGATGCAAAAAAATTATGAAGCTCAAAAGGAAAGTCTGGCACATGAAGTGGTATCCTTAGTACTTGCTCATCAACTTAGCGAAAAAAGGACCTTAATCTTACTCCAGATTTAATCACCAAGGCTGTTGTATCTACTATTGATGGTGGTGCAAAAACTTAGGCATTAGCCACTGTTGAATCAGGTATGTTCCCTTTTTCATAAAAGTATACCCTCCCCCTCCAATCTCTTTGTCCCCCCCCCCCCCCCTTCCCCCTCCAATCCACATTTCCCTTTCTCTATCTTTTGAGATGTCCTATTATGGTCTGAGAGAACTTTGTTATTGTTATTGAATCTTGGTATGAAACACCCCAAAATTTTAGGTAGTCCAATTTGTAAGGGAAACTTTGCTAAATTTTATACTTGAATTTGGTTACTCATCTCTCTTTCTTTATCTTATGAATTGTCCTATTTTGATTTGGGAACTTGTTTTTATTTTATTTGAATCTTGATTTGAAACACTCCCATTTTCCAAGTTGTCCAATTTATAAAGGAAACTTTGCCGAATTTTCCACTTCAATTATTAATTTTTATTCCTTGCATATATTCTATTATTGATTTTGTTTTGTTTATGTGTGTATATATTTTTGCAGGATATTTATATATGGAGCATACAACTTTTTGTAAATTGAAGTATCCAGCTCGTTAGGATTAGGCGACATTTTGAAATTAGATTTGATTCATATTTTGATATATATGCAAGTTTTTGGACATGTCAGAAGGCTTGGTAGGATATATGTATGCAAGTTTTTGGACATGTAAGAAGCCTTGGTAGTATATGGGTTGATGTAATTGATTGTGTATATATACATATATATATATATATGTGTGTGTGTGTGTGTGTGTATATATATACATAGTATATGGGTTGATGTAATTGATTGTGTATATATACATATATGTATACATGTATATATATACATATATGTATGTATGTATACACACACACACACACATATATATATATATATATATATATATATATATATATATATATATATATATATATATATATATATATATATATATATATATATATATATATATATATATATATATATATATATATTACCCAGATGTATGTACATTTAAAGCACATTAAGCCACTTTATCTATGAATCTTATGTATTAAATTATAAGATTGTGCACATTCATCTTATAAAATAGGAGGATTATTTAATTGGGTACATTTTAATTCTAAAAAATATAATCGTTGTCTTAGATACTTGAGCTGGTTGCCAAAAATTCTCGTAACACACTTTTTACAGCAAGAAAACCGTGGTTATAGGTAGTGGCTAATTGTAGCAAATCAAATATAAGCGTTGGCTAAAATTCAAAGATAACCGTTGTTTTAGATAGCTAAGCGTTGCATTATAAAACCGTGGCCATAGGAAATTAAAGGCAACGATTTGATGATTTCATTGCCATAGATATCAAAAGTGTTGCCTAATACCTAAGGCTGCGCCACCCTAATGCAACAGTAGCAAAACCATTGCCAAAGGACTACTGCAATAGTTTTTGAATCTATGGCAACAATTTTTGGCCGTTGCCTAATCCCTTTTTCCTTGTAGTGTTCAGTATTGTTGAGAATGTCGAAACTATTCTCGATTCGCTAAATGTTCGAGACAAGTTGCTACTAAGATTAAGGTAATTTGAACTTAGCGCGCTAAAGAATCTAGGTTGACCCTTTGCGAGTATATAACGCTTTTAAAAGTATAGGTTGTCCTGGGTGATGTCATGTTATAAGAGAGTACCGGGTTTAAAAAGATTAAAAGAGGATGATACCCTTTCAATATGTCATCGACGGTCTAAAGTCCCTCGATCTGTCATTGGAACTTTAGTCCATGATTTTAACAAAGTAAAAGATGATAAATGGGGGGGGGTGTTTCGTCATTCGTAGCCTAACACTTGAATAAAAGATTGACATACGCTGCCAAAACAGATATTCAATGTCCACAAGATGGAAATACATGTCTCAGGACTGGAGGCACATATCCAAATCCAATGAGAGAGAAGAAAATCGATAACTCTCTAAGCAGTTTTGTCCACAAGATGAAAACACGCGTCTTAGGACTAGGGGCACGTGTCTAAATGGGAGCAGCTTCAGTTGGGGCGGCTCTTTATACAAGGGGTGGACGGACACCCTAACTGTCCGGTAAAGCACGATAGCTTTCAAGCTAACCGTATTTTCTTACAATGGGGGTCGTCCGACCCCGATGGTTAGGCATGCCTGTTGACTCGTTAAGCTAACACCTTTAACAGAAACAAGGGTTCTACCGTTTTCGACGGGAGGCAAATCACGTTGCTAGTGCAATTTTACGCAGCAATACATTGTACAATTTTACGTTGTACGTACGCGGTATTTTTGTTAAGTAACGCCAAAAATACGAAAAATGTGACATTTCTGTAAGGGCAGTATAGGAAAATGCCAAGCTGTCTATGGAAGCTTTTACGTAAAGCACCACTACGGTATATTTTGTAGACGCTTTTCTGAAAAACAACTAAAACGTATGCTTGGGGCAGGCACAAAGCACGGTGTGCATGCAGGATGATGCAAAAAAAACTATCAAAGAAGAAATAAACTATAAAATGCAAAGCAATAAATGGTTTTTGAAGGTTTTAAAAAAACTTCGCGAGAAAGCCTGTCGAGGGGCGAATTCAATGAGCTAAAACGTTGGTTTGGAAGATTAAACAAAAACTGAGAAATGGGCATTTTGACTTACCAGTAACCGCATGCAACTTTGAGGGTTGCGCTGGGGCGTCGCGCGCAACATTAGAAGTTGCACGCAGCTATCTCACGCAACTCTGTGAGTTGCGCGCAGAACTTAAATGACGAACAATTGTGGAAGAACATGATCTGTAGCGCGTGCCTTTCTTCTTCATTCGTCTTTTCCGATCTCTTTCCATTTTTTGTTGTCGTATGAACTTAAGGAAAGTAAATCGTGCTCCTTGTTTATTGTACCAAACTTTTAATTTGGTAAACAAAATGGGGAAAATCGAAAGAAGTCCGTTACTTTTTTAAATTAAGGGTATTCGATTCGACTTGTTTTCATGAATTTGTTTGTTCTATATTGTTGTGACATGTTTAAGGAATATATTGCAACAAATTTCATGTGAAGTGGTCAAGTATTGAGTCAAGTATGAGCATACACAAGCATATATGTTTTTTCTTCATTTGATTTCCGAATGTGCTTGAACTTATTTCTTTTTTATTTTCTCATATGGACTATACTTGTAAATTTTAATGTAGATTGAAGTGTTAGAACGAAAATTATGCACTAAATTTGGGATCAAAATTTTGAACTTTGAAAATGGTATGAAATTATTCTTGCGGCTCATGTTTATTTTTGCCATGCGTAAGTTGCAAAATTGGTTTTATCAATGATAACAATAATCGATAGTTATTATTATTCACTTATAAAACTATGATTTCAAGATTTGCATAAAACTAGTTAGCTTAGGAAATTGTTGAGACATCATCGAACTGGTGTAGTTTGGCTATATTTCGGTCTTTTGAGCCCCCATTTTATATTTCCGAGTGTCGTAGCCCCCAATATTGGGTAGCTTCGATGACTTGTTTGTTTTTAAGATTTAAACCCTTTCATGTTGCTTGAAATGGGTCTAGAAATCCCGTGTTTCGTCTTATTATGATAACAATTAGGATCTTGGAAACGATTAAACGAATGTGTTTAAATAGTTTTTTGACCAAAGGAAACTTGTTAAGCCTAGTAATATTGGTCATTCGTTAGAACAAGTAAGAGGAAAAATAAAATGTTATTCAACTTTTCCCTCTATTCTCGCTACTTTTGAATTCTTTCCTTTGAGCTCAAATTTTGTTACTGATTGAAGCTCGACACAATAGATATCATCCTCTTTGCGAAATTCCAATGTGCGCAACAATAGAGAATGAAGACCCTTTAATTTTGAACTTAGGAGTCTTACTTTTTTTTTCATGAAATTGTTTGTCTTAAGTTATTGAAGCGTCTTGATACAGTTTTCATGATGAACGATTGAGTATTAAACTTTAGTTGCACCACACTAACATGAATATTCTAGCACCAAATAAAATAATTAAAACATGCTCACCATACAATCACAAGTCAACTTACCTTTAACTCATAACTAGCAATGTTAATTATTAAAAAATAGCTTTGGATTACGCATCGAGCGGGTTTCCTTCGTTTAAAAAATCCCATTAAACATGGAGCTTCCAATTAGGGAGCTACCCCAATTGACACCTACTATGTCACACTTTTGACAGAATTCCAGCGCATTAATAATAAAAGAAAGTACAGCATCCTATACCCTTGTAAAAGTTATGGTTAAATATAAAACCCCATAACTCCCCCATATGTTCATACTCAAGGTGTATACCTTCCAAGAGTTTTGGTGCGTATCCTCTTACACTTTACGTGATTTACCAATTTAACTTGTTATGACTCCAACCAATCAATCAAGAAAAAACATTGCAACAATCAACACAAATTTCCAATTCATTCTTGAATTAATTAGTGAGCACATATTATTTATTTTAATTAAGGCTCCTTGCCAAGTTTTGCGCACAAAATTGCACGATCACTACATTGGTGCATAAGACGCACTACTAAACTTCCTTGACTCAAACTCAACATACATGAGTGAGTAAATAAATAAACTAACTTCTTGACTCAACACCAATAATAAATGGTGATAAATAAATTCAAGAATCATGCTCAATAATTCTAATTTTAGCTCTTTCAAACATACATAAGCTTTGCTTATTAAATTCATGCTTTCTTGACACTTGAAAATAAAACATACTTCCATGATTCATACATATTCAACTTGTATCATACCCTAAACAACATATTCACATACTTGCATAATTATACATGCTCAACCAACATCAATTCCAAGCATATAATCAACCAAACATGCTACTAAATCATCACTTAAATCATACTTTACAACCCTAGCATGCTACTACGTATGCATACACAAACATTTTCTTGTGCACATACGTACCTAGAATAGTGCCTAAACTAGGCCACACTCGCTAGAAATCACCTAGCTCAAAGCTTCCTACAAATAAGAATACATAACTATAATTAATCCACTATTCTCACAAATTTCCAGCAACTATAATACACTTTAAACCTTACTAATCAACCTAATTTAATGACATAAAAGCCATAAAACCTTTTCTTTAAGTGAGTACTTTAAATCCTATCAAAAATACTTAGTTTTTATGACTTAAATAAAATTCAAGCACACTTAGGGCTTGTTCTGATTTACTGAAAACAATTAAACTGAAATGAAATGAACTGATTGGGCTGAGCTGAACTGAATAGAGCTGAAATGAATTGTTTATGAGAGAAGGAAATTAGGAACTGAACTGAACTGAATTGATTGGAGCTGAACTGAACTAAACTGAACTGAACTAAAATTAAGCTGAACAGAACATGCCCTTATTTAATATAAAACATCACTAATAGACTAAGAAATCATATTTAAATCATTAAAACCTTTTTCCCTTTTATGGGTAATCAAACCCTAACACAGTAATTAAAAAGTAGTGTGTATAATTAAATTCCAGCATTAATTTGAGGGATTCAAACTCATTAAAAACATGTTTAAACCATTAATTAAACAACAACAGCAACCTAAGATCAAACCCTAACCATAAACAATAAATTCCCAAATTCTAGGGGTTTGTAAATCAGGGTTTTTAATTAAATAAAAATCTGAAATTTATATGGATAATTTAACAACATCAAATACCCAAAATCAATATAAAAACATATTCAAAATCATACTTTAAATTAATAAAACAACTAACATTAAATTAGGAAGAGAGAAGAGTTTTTTTTTTCTTTTGTACCAAACCAAAAAGAGGGAAGGATAAGAGAGAAAACGGTGGCCGGCTGGTGGCCCCGGCTACTGCTGGCCGCCGGTGATCGATGGTCGGTGGTGGCGCTAGTTGATCGCCGATGGCGTCGGTGGGAGAGAAAAAGAAGAGAGAGAGAGGTGTGGGAAAAAGAGAGAATAAAAAGAGAGGAAAAAGAGGGAGAAAATAAAAAGAAAACTTTTGGGGTATTTTTTTGTGAAATCTGACAATTATGATTTTAGAGTGAAAAACTTTGAGGTTTTAAAGTATTTACACTCCCCTTTTAAAACAAAAACTCATAATTACAAGACTGTCATTACTAAATCCTACTTCTTCTTAACTTCTTCCTTTGGAGCCAACTTGTTGGGCTCTTAAGTGTCCTCAATTTCCCAACAAGTTGATCCAACTATTTAAATAAGGATGACCCAATTCAAAATACTTTTATTGCTTTAATTAATGACTCATATTATTTTATACACATTTACATAACATTTAAATAATTAATTTATTTTAAAATGAAATGAATCATTTTAATTTATAAAAATAAATAAAATAAATAATTTATTTACATGAAAATATTATAAAAATACGGAGTATTACAACCCCGCTTCCAGCAGGAAAAGTTCCACCCGGGATGACTACTTGTAGGGTAATGGGGGGTAAAGCAGAAGAAACAAAAGAAGTTCACTCAAAATGGTCACCTGAGCGAGACAACTCAGGGGAAGAAATAGACTTAGTGCAAACAGAGGGAGAACTTGGATTCTGACTGTTAGAAGCGTTAGACATTCTTAGGATTTACAAACAACAAGAAAACCCCAAAGACAAGAAGAATGGGGAGTAAAAGCAAAATCAGTTGTGCTCCAACAGCGAATCCAAGAGAAACAAAAAAGGAAAAGAAGAGAAAAGGCAAAATTGAAGCGAAAAAGCGCAACCAACAGCAAGCAAAAAGAAAGAATGCGCATGAACAGTAGAACTCATAAATAAAGATTCAATCTTGCAAAGAAAACAGATGGGGAATGTAATTGCGCAAACAGAAAATAGAAAAGGGAGGAAAGTGTGAAAAAGAAGGTACAAAGAAAATACCTTTCAAAGAAAAATCGTGTAGTTGACGACACGCAGCGATAATTGCAACCCCGAAAAATGAAAATCAAGTGAGGATTTTGAACTGTAATCAAGGGAAAAATAAACCCAATGCAGGATGAAAATTAAAAAAATGAGCAATTAAAAGAGGACAAATTAATCACACAAAAGCAAAGTGTAAGAAGAAACAAGGAAGGAACACTTACAACAACAATGAAGCAACAACCGTTAACAGGAGAGCAATGGCGAAGGAAAGAGAGAGCAGAAAATTTGAAAAGAGGAAGATGAAAAGAAAGATGGGAAGTAAAAAAAGGGAGACAGTGAAATTAAATGTGACAATTAATGGGCGGTTTTACCTAATCTATAAGAGTTCAACTGCCATGTCACTTCTGTAAAATAAATTGCATCCTGGATGACTGACACATGTCCCACACATGCAAGACACCATTCCCACCAAAAAAAAGGAAAAAAAACCTTCCTCTACTTCAGCGGGAGTAATCGAAATTTCTTGCTACATGCTCGTCATTTCTCAAACTTCAGTGGGAGTAATCAAAATTCCTCGCTACAAGCTCGTCATTTCTCAAACTTCAGCGAGAGTAATCGAAATTCCTTGCTATAAGCTCGTCATTTCTAGACTTCAGCGGGAGTAATCGAAATTCCTCGCTATAAGCTCGTCATTTCTCATACCTTAGCAGGAGTAAACGAAAATCCTCGCTGGCAGCTAGTCATTTCTTCAAAACTACTCGAGGGGCTATTATCATCCACATACTGCAGTTGGTAATATCTTTAGCACCTCGCCACATGTTTCTCTTAAGTCTTAGAACCGCGTATGCACTCCTGAGACTTGAGGGGCTAGTTGTAAGGAGAAAATCTCAGCCGGACGACTTTTTGAGCAAATACCGATAAGGTTACATGCTCAAAACAGTTGGCATGAGTGACCTCACACCACCTCTTGAGGGGCTAGTTGTATGGGATAGCTCCTGCAGAGCTATTCCCTTTCAGTCGAGCTCGTCCAGAGGAGGTGTGCTAATCAGTCAAAGACCTAGCATAAATGACCTCATACCACCTCTTAAGGGGCTAGTTGTATATGATAGCTCCTATTGAGCTATCACCACGCTCCCAGCCTTGCTCATGGGGTGCGCACTCATCGCTGGAAGGACATTCAGATGGGCTCACCAGCCCGTTAGAGTCGACTTATAGGCTGACCAAGTATGACTCCGCCCAAAGGAGATCGTACACCTATAAATAGGGAACCAAGTACAGCGGAAAATAGGTTAGACACACGAATTCTTACACACACTCTCTCTCTATATCTAAGTACACTTTCTCTCTCTAAAAACATTCTAACTTAAGCATCGGAGGGGGGTTCCTCGAGCCACCCCCGAGGGCAGTTATGTTTGTCACCCTGTGTAGGTTATCCAACTGGACCCAACCTGCTCCAGTCAGAGCCCCCAGATCCGTACCCAAAACATTACCATCTTGTAATAAACCCTAACGAGGTTCATCAAGCATTGTAGAGGATGGTAGGGGGATACCTCAGATCTTATGAATCAAATCAACTGTGAGGATGGACAGAAGCAAGGGAACATCCCAAGAGTTGTAATCTGTAATAAAAGTATTAACTATAGTATCTAGATTGGAAATAAGATTTGGGTCCAAATATAATAGGCCTATGATATTAGTATTAGCACACCAAATATCAACCCAAAACAGGATAGAGGAACCATTTCATACTTTCCAACGAAGGCCTCGAATAAGAAGAGGACGATCTGAAGCAATTTCTTCCATATCAAAGAATCCTTAGATTGGGGGTGGTAACTAAGGAATTAGAAATGACGAAGATATTTAGCTGAAACCGATTGTACCCACAGATTATTCGGGATTAATGAGAAGTTTCCAACCTAGCTTTGCTAAGAAAACAGAATTTACAACCTCAAATTTACATAAACCAAGAACACCCTAACTCTTTGGCTGACAAATAGTATCCCAGGCAACCAAGGGCAATCTTTTCTTTTGAGGAGACTGTTTCAAGAAAAAAACCTTTATTTATTTTATCAAGGGAGGAAGTGTTAGATACGAGCAATCTAGCTGTGGACATAGCATAAGAAGGAATTGCCTCAAGATTGATCTGGATTAAAACGAACTTACTAGCTTTAGAAACTAGATTAGGAGACCAACTGTTCATTTTCTAATTAGCCTTTGTAATCAAATGGTGAAAATTGTTGTTATTATAAGTACTGGAATTAAAGGAAACTCCTAAATAACGGCCAAGACATGACTTAGGGGTCATGTTAAAGTAACTAGCTAAAATAGATTTATTTTGATGGGAAACAAATTTAGAGAAAACAACTAATGATTTATGCAAATTAACAAGTTTTCCAGAAAGGGTGGCAAACTCGGCCAAAGTATTTCTAAGGGTACCACAAGCTGTAGAAGAATCGAGACTGAATGGACAATTCTTTGGCCAATCCCAAGCTTCTTTGATTGGCTAAGATGGAGAGGTTTTTTGGATAAAACTTCCATACAAATAACAAACAAAGCCGGGAATAAGGGGTCACCTTGGCGCAAACCTCAGGAATGGCAAGGAATGGCAAATAAGTTGAGTAGTAGAGTAGTTAACGGCAGAAGAGTAAAAGACCATAGTAATACAAGCTTTAATACACTTTATCTAAATCTGGTTAAAACCAAAAGAAGAGAGAGTAGTCCATAAAAAATCCCATTTAATTCGATCATAAGCTCTTTTCATATCTAATTTTAAAGCCAGCCAATCGTTTTTACTTTTAGATTTGTTAAAAAGGTTGAGAATTTCATGTACTAAGAGAATATTATCTTGAATAGCATGAGTAGGAGCAAAATCATTTTGATAAGGACCAATAATTTTATTCAAGAAGGGTTTTAACCGATTGACTAAGATTTTAGAAATGGCTTTATATATAGTAGTACAGAGACTAATAAGTCTGTAATGACTAGCTATTGAAGGAGAACCTAATTTAGGGATCAAAAGTAATAATCTTATGATTTAGTTCTTTTAAAAGGATACCGATAAAAAAGAAACTTTTAATAGCTTTGTATATTTCCGAACCAATTATGTTAAAATAACGTTAAAAGAATTTGGGGCCATAACCATCCAAACCTGGGGCTTTGCAAGATGGAAATGAAAAAGGATACCAAAAATGAGAGAAAGTGGCAGGGAATTTCAGTCTTACCTTATTTTCACCTCCTACTCAAGGCCTACAACAGTAGCTTCTTTTGCTCTCCTCTTTCTTAAAATCAATATTAGAGTCCGGTTTATCACTACTAGAAAACATTCCATTTTCGACGGAAAAATTCCGTCGAAAATACCCTGTTTTCCGTCTAAAAACGCGTTTTCGACGGAATTCCGTCAGAAATGGTCATCGGAAACACATTTATAGGAAAAAAGACCTTTTCTGACGTAATTTCCGTCGGAACCAGCTATCTGACGGAATTTCGAGTGTCGAACGAGATTCTGAAAAGTCTGTCGGAAATTTTTCGCGGGAAATTTCCGACAGAAAATCCGTCAAAAAATCTAACCACAAAAAACCCCTGCACCGTTACCACATACCCAGATCCACCACCTCAACATCCTAGATTAACCACCACCCACCTCGCTATCGAAATCTGCCACCCCACCGCACAAAACCAACCACCTCGTGACTCCCAAAACCCAGAACTACCACCCCCACTCACAATGCCACAACCCAGATCCGCCACTTACCACCCCTGCCCACCACCACCATTCACTACGCCACCCCCAAAATTGAAACCCTGGCCCAATTTCAACAAAACCACCCGAAATCCAACGAAACCACCTACCCAAAATCCAACAAAACCACCTAAAAACCAACAAAACCACCGAAAATTAAAAAAATAAAAAATACCACCTACCACTACCATATTTCTCAGCCCAACCACCATAAAAATTCCAAAAAAAAGAGAGATAGAGGAGAGAGAAGAGCACCAAGAGAGTGGAGAGAGAAGAGATCCGAGAAAGAGAGAAGAGAGATAGAGGAGAGAGAAGAGAACCGACAAAAGAGAAGAGAGAGAGGAGAGAGAAGTGAGTTAAAAGAGAGATCAGAGAGAGGGGGGAGGAGAAATGAAGGGAGAAGGGGGTAAAGGGCGGCTAAAAAAAATTAGGGTTAGGTTTTTCTTTCTTTTTTTTTTTTAAGTTTAATTTCGTCGGAAATCAGTTAAAATCCGTCAGAAAAGTCCGTTGGAAAATTCAGACGGAATGATATTCCGTCCGAAAATTCTTACGGACTTTAATTCCGTCGAAATTTTTTTTTCCGACGGAAAATTTCGTAGGAAATTTCCGACGGACGTAAATTTCGTTGAAAATTACGTACTTTCCGATGGATTTTAATTCCGTCGGAAATTTCCGACGACTTTTCTGACAGGATTTTTAAAATCGTCGGAAATTTTGTATTTTCCGACACAATTACGTGTTCGTCGGAAGTGTTCTGTCGGAAATCGAGCTATTTCTTGCAGTGTTGGCTAATTCAAATCACGTGACCTAAACCCGAATTGTACATGTATGACATGATCCAATTTAGATCTAAATTAGAATAAAAAATGTGTTAAAGATAAATTATTTTACTCCCTTTATATTTTAATAACTAATCCAAATTAGGGGTATTGTGGGATTGGAGCATACATTAGAAGATAGAGGGAAAAATCTACTATTAAACTAGTATTGTCATACGGGTTAGAATGTTGGGTATTGAAAGATGGAGTGACATTGATGCTTATGTTAAGATGGATGTGTGGGAACACGTTATATAATATAATTAGAAATAAATATATTAAAAAAGGAAAATTGGAGTTGCAGACATGATAAAATGAGCGAGGACAGATTTTGTTGGTTTGAGCATGTCAGACAAAAGTCGAAAGGTTATAGAGTGTGTGTTGTGTCATCTAATATGAAACGGAGGAAGTACTATATAATATTGACCAAATGAAAATGAGAGATGATTGATTTTGGTGTCTTGGTATATATAGGCAACTTACATTAAAGGTAAAGATTTTGGTGGTGGGAGTGGGGGTTTTTTTTTTCCTCCTCCTCCTCTAAATGTTGAGCGCTCATTAGATTATAAACTAGATGAAAGCCCGTGCAATGCACGGTTTTTTCATCTAAGGTTTTTAATTATTTGATTTATTGTATTTAATAATCAGACAAAATTACAAAAGTTTAATGTTAATTTTTTTTTTACTATAATTTCTTCACTGAGCAGACAATTTGCTACTCTTCTAGTTAGATAAGGACTTAGACCTACCGGTAATAATACAACTTTATTCATTATAATTGAATTTTTTAAATATAAATAAATTGTTAAGTTTGATATTTCATCCATTACCTAAATCTTTAATGTGAAAAGATAAATTTTTTAATTTTTTAAATAATTTAAATTCTAAATCATTATTCATTGTTTATGTTAGAAAAAAAAAAAATTGATATAAATTAAATCATTACATTTATATAAAGTAAATCAATATATTTACTAATAAATGAAAAATTGTTGCGAAATTGATAAAAAAAAAAACTGTAATTGTGTAAAAGCAAATCTATGCATTGGAATTTTTTCATCATCTCCAATAATAACGAAAGCCATCCATATAATAAGTATACGACATCAAATCGTGTGTCATTTGCCTTAACTTCTTCTTACAATTTTTAAAATTAATTTGAAATAGTTGCATTAAATATATGTATAAAAGCCAAAATATTAACTTGAATAGTTGCATCAAATAAAGTACTTTACAAATTAATTTCAACCACATATGCTTGACAATGCTCAACATAAAATTTCTTAGTAACTAAACTAAGCTAGTCAACAATTAGCTAGTTTCCACATTGTTATATTTTGTCTACAATGTCATGGAGAATATACATCCATTACATCTTTAATCAAAAGTAGTATGATATGAATTGCATCAATGAGATCAAGACCACTAATTACAATTAAAATGCGGTCCATCCCTGTGTTTATTCATGCATGGAACTTTTATTAAATCAATATAATGACAAAAATCAAGGCATTGGATTGGAACGATTGAAAAGTATCTAAAGAAGTAAACTTTTTCTTCAATCAATTTTGGATGAAAGTGTTGAACAAAGTTGGTATTAATTGAGGCGTGAACGTAATCACCCTATAATTGAAAATAAGAAATTAAGTTATTTTAATAACTTGATTAAGCCACCTAAATTACAAATTTTATTTTTTTAATAAAATTAATTAATAAAAAACTAAAGAGGTTTATAAAAAAAATATAATAAATGTAAATTAAACAATTTATAAAAAAAATAAAAAAAAATACCTCCTCTTCCATTAGGACCATATCCAAACTTTTAAGCTATGTTGTTTACAGAAATTTAGTATGTCAAATAGGCGATAAACTTGTACTTTGATTTTCCAATCATTTTTGCTCGAATTTAATTCTCTAATGAAATTAGATTTGCATGTAAAAACAAAATTCAGTAAACAAAACATAAACAGATAATCGTTAAGTATCCCAAATAAATACAATGTAAGTAACTAATTACAAATATAAATTTAAACATAGGATTTTAAAAATTACCCGAACATTAATGACCTAAAACTAACACAAAATTACTAACACAAAATTCGCTTGATGGGGTTTTGTATTGATACAAATTTTGTTGGTGTCGTATGATGCGTTTGTGCATGTAAAAACAAAATTTAGTAATTAAAACATAAACATATAATTGTTAAGTATCCCAAATTAACACAATGTAAGTAATAATTACAAATACAAATTTAAACATAGGATTTTAGAAATTAAGCTAAAAATTACCCGACCATTGATGACCAAAAACTAACACAAAATTCACTTGATGGGGTTTTGTATTGATACAAAATTTTGTTTTTGTCGTATGATGTGTCAATTTATAATGGTAGGTATCACAAATTTTGATTTAATTATAATTAACGAACAATTTTTATTTCTTATCATAAATAATATTAAAATTTATCTTATAATGGTAGGTATCAAACTTTATTATAATCGTTTATCATTTGAATATTTTTTATTTATTTTATTGGGTTATCATGAAGTCATATTCTCTTCCATTTATATCTACATGTACTCATAAATTATCATATTATAGTTACGTATTTTTCTATTTGAATCCACCATATCATAAATTAAAAAATTAATATTTGAACCCACCATATTTCTCCACCAAGTTTAGTTACGTGGAGATAATTTTCACCATATTATAAATCTTTTAAAAAAAATTAATATTTGAACCCACCATATTTCTCCACCAAGTAAAGTTATGTGGAGATAATTTTTGAATAGTAGGATATTTTCATAATTTGAACCCAATTAAATATCTTTTTGGAGATTTATCTTTTGCTATATTTTTTTGGATTTCTTATACTCGTAGTATTGATTTAATGAATTTATCTTTTCCTATATTTTTACTTTATTTTTTTCCATTAAAATAATTTAATTCCTGAATTTTAATCTACGTGGCATTAAAATTTTAGATATATCAAATCTAATTCATTACTTTTATCTAGATGGCGATATAATTATTTAATTCAAAAATAAAATACTAATCTTTTTTCTTATTGGTCGAAATAATTATATTTCTTACGTGACTCTCCGAATGCTCTCCAAAAATGCCTACTTTATTTATATAATATATTAGATTTTTATTTTTACATAACCAACTTATCTTTAATCACATAACTACTTATCTTTGAGATTAAAATCTTAATTTATTCATTCATGTAGCCAACCTATCTTTGGTATTAATACTTTGGTTGTTTTTTTTAGGGGTCGTTTGGTTGGATAATTTGGAATGGGTTAGAATGGAGTTAGAATCCATTCCATCTAATTTTTTGTTTGGTTGAGATTTATAGTAATGGAATCTCATACCCAAAGGGTTCTAACTCCCTCCCATACCGATGGAATCCCATACCCACGCCCCCCTAAGATTCACAATCCATTCTATTAATGAAGGATAGTTAGCATTCCAACAATAAAACCAAACAACTTTGGACTAGTATGTGTTTTAGAATCCATACCTCTCTATTACGAGATTCCATACCAATCCATTCCAACTTGATAAACCAAATACTAGGGGTGAGCATGGGACGGGTACCACGGTTCGGGTAATCGATAACCAACATCACTAAAAGTGATATCCATAAACCGAACTGATAAGTTCAGGTACCCTAATTTTCGGATTGGTTATCGGGTACCCAATAAGGTATCCAATAATGATAATTAAACTTAACAATTTACTCCCTCCGTTTTTAAATACTTGCTCCATTTCTCCATGTGCGGAGTTTTAGAAGAAATTGGAGAAAGTAATAAAATATGGAGGTAGTGGGGTAGGTGAAAGAATAAAAAATTGTAAAAAACAAAAATAGTTGAGAGAATTAGAGGAGAGAGAATATGAAATTAATAAAATATGATTTATGTTGGATCCGCTATTTCAGAGAAATGAAGTAAATATTGTAAATGCTTTCAAAATAAAGAAATAGAGCAAGTATTTAAAAACGGCCGAAAATGATAAGTGGAGCAAGTATCTAAAAATTGCAAGTAGTTATTATAATATCATTTAACACTAATTAACAACAATACCACATAATCTTGACTAAATTATTAATAATCTTACTAATCATTGATTTTATAAAGTGATTATGAAGTAAAGTAAGAGTTTAGATTTTGGGAAAATAGATTTGAGTAGGAATAAAAACAAAAAATTGTTTATCGGATCGGAATGGGTAACCGTTAATTTTAAAATAATATCCAATAACCATACCCGATAACAAATTATTAGAACGGATATCTAAATCGTTATGATTATCAGATCAGATACCCTAATTTTCGAAATGATTACGGATTGAATTTTCGATTTTTTGGGTAGTTTCGCGCAAATACCCCCTTCAACATTTTAAGTTTTGGAGGTGGTCGTGTACTTGCGTTAAATTATTGAGCGTACGGTGATTACGAG